GCACCTAGTCAGGAATGTGGCCTGAATTCTGTATATAGGTCAAAAAACTCCTGCAAAACCAGACTCTGTACCCACATTTTTAACTACACATTACTTACTACCACTGCATAAGAAAACTCTCTTCTTTTTCAGGGAAAAGGCCTGCCGTCTTGCTACACCATGGTACTTTAGGAGATTCTATTCACTGGATTTCTAATCTGCCCAACAACAGCTTGGGCTTCCTTCTCGCAGATGCTGGCTATGATGTCTGGATGGGAAACAGCCGAGGAGACACTTGGTCTTTAAAACACAAGACCCTTAAGTCCTGCCAGAAAGAGTTCTGGCAGTTCAGGTACTCCATGGAGAAAGAATTACTGAAGAAAGCAACTTTCAGGGCACTAGCATGATTAGGCAGTTAATAGTGGGATGCAAAACCTTTCCCCTTCTGGTTATATGAAAAAAATCTCCTTCTGGATCATATGAAATCATATAATAGGGTTTTCATATAGTCTGACTTCAAGTGGGACATGCAACATCTAAGGAGACTAGACGAACTCTTTTCCCCAGATGCAGCCATTTCTGGGCATGTTACAGGGGTCATAAGAAGGGCTTGGCTGCGTGATCTGGACAGGCCCTTTTGGAATCAGCACATACAGAAGCAAAGCTGGAAGTACAAAGGTAACCTTTGTCCATGCACAGTGTTGGTTTCTTTGGTGAAAAGTCTTCCAAAACTGGGAGGCATCTGTAACCTTGAATCTTACACTAGATACCATGTCCCAAGCACAGACAGGAGAGGACACTGCTCAGCTCAGTCTAGAAATCTGATCTATCACAACTGATGTTAACTGAGAGAGAAATATTTTTTGTAGCCCAGGGTGATGAGAGCACTTATTAAAGGTGAGGCAAGAGCCTCAGCTAACAGATAAAACTGGCAACTCCTCTGCAGAGAGCCCAAGGCATTGGGCAGCCTGGCAGTACAGCTGTGTCCCTTTACTCCCTTCCCCAACTCAAGCTAGAATGCAGACAAAGCGTGCAACCTCATCTTTCAATGGGTTCTGCTTGGTGCAATGAACAAAACTGACATTCAGTAACTCGTACTGTGATAGTCAAACTTATCTGCTAGCTTTTTGTGTTTCTCCCCTGTAGCTTCGATGAGATAGGTAAATACGATATTCCAGCAGAGCTGTACTTCATCATGAATAAAACTGGACAGAAGGATGTATATTATGTTGGTCACTCAGAGGCTTCAACTGCAGGTAATGTTAGGACTGCCTGGGTACAAAACAGTTACTGTTAGTGTTCAAGATTTATATATAAGATCTACGAGTAGATACTGGCATTTATGCCATGATGTGCCATTGCCTTTTTACAAAAATGAACTGAGACATAGAGGAGAAAATGGGAGGGAGGTGGCATGTGGTCACATTCTTAAGCAATTATTTTCCTTTCTTCTCATATGTGGATTCTAAGGGTCTTTTTGCAGAACAAATCATTCAGGCCAAGACATCACCTTCTTTGTCTTTAGATAGCTATGTTTTAGGCAACCAGTTAAATTTGTCACCAAATCCATCAGTGGAGAAATTTAGACATTTCAGAAAACAGGATGGGATGCACCCTTTTTGGTTTTCCCTACTTCATCCCTTCCTCATACTCTTCCTTTATGTGTGCGTTCACTCTCACACCAGGTTGTGCTTAGTTACAAGTAAAAATTCTGCTCTTAATCCTCAGATAATTATTGTATTACTGCATACCAGTATAAACATATACAGTCTTTTAGAGACTGCAAGCTGAAAAACTCATTATTTTATTAGAGTTTAAGGAACATTAGAGGGAATTTGAAATAAGAAGATCTGATTAATGCATCTTGTCCCCAAAAAATGGCCTTAACACAAAATTGTCTGTTGTGAAGGAATCAATATCTGGGCATGCTTTAATGAACCTGTATCCTTAGAATGAACTCTGTCTCCAAAATAAATTTTCAAGAATCAAACACTTTCTTTAGATCTGCAGCACAGAAACAGGCAACAGCCAATGGGCTGCCAATCTAGTCTCAGTTCTTTGCTGCCTACTGCTTTTTTTTATTTATTTGGTCTGTGGAGATCTCTTCACTAACTTGACTTATGTCTTCTGTGTTTGCAGGCTTCATAGCATTTTCTACTTATCCCGAGTTGGCTCAAAGGGTTAAAGCGTTCTTTGCTTTGGGACCAGTAGCCACAATCACACATGCTACCAGTCCTCTGGTAACATTTGCACGTCTTCCCCAGTCACTGATCAGGGTATGTCATTCCTCTTTCTAAAAGACATAATTGTCTGCTTTGTCTCTACTGGACTCAATCAACCTGAACTGATTTTAAGGGGGTGATGAGTTAAGAATTAATTCAGTGTATCAGACTGCTAACAGTGCTGGTAGACTTCAGACTTTCCACAGAGCTAAGCTGCAAGGCTTGATGCGGTATCTGTTTTGCAACTTCTTTAAGATAACAGGCATACTTTCACCATTATTTCTTTAAATCAAACATTTTTGAAGGAAGCCCACAAATATCAGAATAAGAGGCACCTAACATAGTCTACTAAATCTACCTTTAAGCACTAGTAGAAAACTACAAATAAGATATTTCACATCTTAATTTTATTAGACATGCAGTTCATTTATGAAAAAAGTTTTGCACTTTTCTTCCCCTCAGTTACTACTTGGCTGCAAAGGAGTTCTTCACCAGAATGAACTGCTGAAAGGGCCTCTAACACGAATCTGTGGATCTCTGGGAAAAGTTTGTTGCAGTGTCTTCTGCTACATAGCTGGGGGCAGGATACAAAATCTGAACACAGTAAGCATGTCCAAGAACACCTTAATAGAAGTAAAGCTAAAGTAATTTTGAAGGAAAACAGTTTTTTCTGCCTTATGACTACATACAGTTGCAGGGACATAGAGAAATTTGTAAGAGTTTTCAAGTAATGCCAATTAGGACCTCAGCTTATGATGAGATGTGCCATCTGACACATTCAAATCACACAAGGAAGAAAGGCTGAATTCAGAATGGTCCCATCTTGCAATGATATCCCTCAGTGTACCCTCTTCTGTGGTTAAGCCAAAGAAAAGTTGGACAGATACCAAAGCTTTTCGAAATGGACAAAAGGATGGAGAAATATTTTCTTCTTTTGCACAATTCATATTTTCCTTCCTAAATAGGAAGGCATCCAGATTATCTGAACATAAGAGATCGTTTCTTTTTGGTCACTACACATCAAAACATTTCCAGCCAAAACTCAAAGCTGTTTCTTCACACTTCTCTCAATAGCAAGATCTTACTCCTTTATTTTGGCTGCTATTGTTTTTTCTTGCAGACCTTCCACATGTCTGTTCTCCAGTGGCCTTTGATCTCTCATACTCAGCCTATTTAACAAGTGTTCCCATAAAAAGCTCCCACACATGTAGCCTCATTATGCTGGAGCAGACAGTCTATTAACAATCCTCCTCTACTGATTAAACACAGCACTATTTAAAAGCATTGTACAACTGCAGAAACCGGGAAAAACAAAGGCCATACACACTCCCCAAATTATGTTTTCCATATGACTAAGCACTAATGTGGAAAAGAGTCTCCCAAAGGGATAAAATTCTACATACTCATTCCTACTGTGAAATCGCATATTTGTGAGTCTCTCCTCAATTTTCTGTCTGATATTTGAAGACTATCCTATTAAAA